CTTTTGTTGTGCATGCATTAGTCGGTGAACCACGGGTGGTAAGTACACATCCATGTGCTGTGCATGTGCTGCACACGTGCATGTGGTGGATGCCCGGCCCCATTGCACTGTACTGGTTGCAACGGGATCTGGAATCCACCACTGCAGTGGACAATAATATAAATATAATAATATGAGCCAGCAGTGTGCAGCAGCTGCCACAAAAGCCGACACAGTTCCAGGCTGCATAAACAGAGGGATAGAATCAAGATCATGTGAAATGTTAATACCATTTTATAATGCCTTGGTAAGGCCACACTTGGAATACTGCATCCACTTTTAATTGCCACAATGTAAACAAGATGTTGAGACTCTAGAAAGAGTGTAGAGAAGAGCAACAAAGATGATTAGGGGATAGGAAGCTAAAACATATGAAGAACGGTTGCTGAAATTAGGTATGTCTAGTTTGATGAAAAGAAGGACTAGGGGAGACATGATAGCAGTGTTCCAATGTTTCAGAGGTTGCCACAAAGAAGAGGGAGTCAAACTATTCTCCAAAGCACCTGATGGCAGGACAAGAAGCAATGGGTGGAAACTAATCAAGGAGAGAAGCAACCTAGAACTAAGGAGAAAATACATGATTGTTAGAACAATTAATCAATGGAACAACTTGCCTCCAAAAGTTGTAAATGCTCCAATACTGAAAGTTTTAAAGAAGAAATTGGATAACCATTTGTGTAAAATGGTATAGGGTTTCCTGCCTAAGCAGGAGGTTGTACTAGAAGACCTCTAAGGTCCTTCCAACTAAGGTCCCTTGCAGTGCAGGAGACATCCCAAATCTGATTCTATCATATCCCATACTAGAGAATAACTTCTGGACTTAGCAGCTTGCCCATTCCACCCAGTTGATATTGCATACAATCTTTCTTCATATCCACATTGCAAAACATGACACAAAGGGATGATTACTTATCTTATCAAGCTTCTGAACAGTAAATAGATGTGGCAGTATCTTATTTTATATAATGAATAAATGAATGAATGATAAAGAACACCATATTCCTAGATTATAAGAAAAATGAATGAGTAAAGTTGTAACAACACTAAATAATGCAGAAGGCAAAAGCTCAAAATAATTAGTCCAAGATGGTTATTGTGCACAACTGAGAATATTGACCTCAAATCTATATTCCATTATATTTAGCTGGCACCTATTTTGTTTAGCCATGGATTTCCATGGCCAAATTATACCTATTCCCTGTTTGTCCCAAAGGTGCTTTTTCAAGAAGCAACTGGACTTATTTTTCTTTGAAGACGTTCTGCTTCTCATCTAAGAAAAAGCTTCTCAGATGAGAAGCGAAACATCTTCAAAAGAAAACCAGAAAGTCCAGCTGCCTCTTGAAAAAGCACCTTTGGGACAACCATGACTTGGATGGCTGAGAATCTCCATAAATATTCCCTGTCTGTTCACAGAAAAAAATCCCATCCACCATAATGGCCATTTCCACCTGCCACGGTGATTGCAGCAGGCATAACCTGAGCATCATCAACACTCAGCTTGGAGAGGGGTAGAGAAGATAGTCCCTTGATACTTCTAGGGCCCAGGTAATCAGCTGTCCAAATCATCAAAATTTTTGACTAAGGCAGGTATTATCTGGATTAAGCTACAAGTGAGCTTCCATGCTACCTGTTTACTAATTAGTTCTCCCAAAACCATACCTATTTGAAATAGAAATGATAACAGTAGTTCATAAATAAAGTTTAGTAATTAGCAAGAGAAATGATATCAGGCATGTAGTGCAATCAAACAGGTAATCTACAAATGTTGCCGAAACAGTAAGTAAACCTGTACCAAGAAGTATTTCTGAGATTACATAAAAACAGTGTTATAACATTAGTGTGCCATTTGATTTCTATGAACCCAAAAGAAATTATGTCTATTATTATGTTTGATTTTACTGGTTGACTAACCATCTCCAGCTACTTACATTACACCTTCTTTCTCAGGTTTCAACCATACAGTTAAAGTAAACGAAACAGCAAGCTTCCGAGGACAAGGAGTGGAAAAACAACCTTTTTCAGCATGAAAAAGAATACTCGTGTTGCTGAAAGATCCAGGAGGCACATCGTTTTGATCTTGCTGGAGAACATTCCCCAAGCCTTCTGAGAGAATGGCAGCATAGGAAGCAGGAGATGACCTATACAAACACTTCTGAATACAAAATTGCGGAATACAGAAGTTCATACTTTCAACAACAGCTGAACTTTGACAAAAAGTACTCCTTTCTGGCAAACCACAGGTCGCTTGGGTTGGCACAATGGAAATGTTCTTGAAAGCACCCACATTTTCAAGACTTGGGAAATGTCCCTGTGAACTGGCAAGAGGTAAGGTTGTATAATAAACGGTGATGGATGTTGCAATGGCATGAAGCAGGAAACCACAGTGCAGAACCAGGCAAATCATGTTTATAGGCAGGCTGCTTCTCGATAAGGCGCTCTAAATAAATAATGACCGCTGCATCAGTGGAAATGGCCTTGGGCAGCTAGTTGAGAGATGATGCAGCATTTCTCCTTAATTTGAAATCCTGGCAGTGTTGAGTTTCTTAAGTCGAATGACATATACTGGGAGCACGGTAATACCTAGAAATAATACAAAAATATTTAAAGGGAATTGGTGCTTTATACCATAAGCAGATATACATACAATTCAGGCCAGACTGACCTAGATCTGTCAGGGAGGGAAAACCAATTGAAACTGAAAAGTCACTTGCAAATCTTGACATATTCACTACAATGGTATATCTCTTGACTTATACTGTATGGTAATAACACCATGTAAATGAGGTGGCATGGCTGTCTAAGACAAACAGAGAGCATACAACCTCTTTATTTACCAATACAGCAGGATTGTTTTAAGACAGATGATAGAATATTTTTAAATTTAAATTCTCCATGAATATCTGAAACAACTTCGCATTCTGCTGTGCATTAAAAACTCTTCTGATTCCAGCTGTAGAGCTACTAAAACCCACTTAGTTACTCCGTAACTGCAACTTTTATCAGTTCTGCGTCTGAAATATGCAGGCACTTCAACCACACAGTATTTAATCATTGGGTTTACGCTGCGACAAGCAAAGCACCTAGCAATATATTTATAAATGTGTACCCAATCCATTTTAAAAAGATACTCAAAACATAAAAAGGCACAAACATACAACTTTAAATTTGCAAAGCATTTTGTGTCTTACCCCAATTGTCCATTTCACGCAGCTCCTTTTAGCCTTTAGCAAAGCTGATTAAACCGTATCACCATCTGTCTTGTTTGACTGTCTTCCTAGTAAAACTCTGCTCTTTTCTGACATTGAAGATAGAGCCTATGTCTGATATACAGGTAAAGCTAATGCCACATCACTGTAAATGATAAGTACCTTTTACTTGTTATTTAACTGAGGAGCCGGACTACTCAAATGTTCAGGTTAATAACTGGCTCATATGTCAAGAAGGCTAGGTTTGGTTACCTGGCAACTCCAGTAATTCCTTTCAGCTGGCTTGATAGGACACAGTAGAAGCAACACTTGTGTGCAGGTGAAGGTCAGGCTATAAGCACTTTAAGTCGGATGCCAGAGAACTGTCTGCTTATTTCTGGCTCTTTAACAGTATGAGAAAATGGCTGAAGTCCTCAGTCCAGCTGCCATTTGAAGGCAGCAACCTTAACCTGATCCTGGATTGTTTGAGGACGTATTTCAGCATTTTCTAACCACTTTCATAGATAGATGGGAGGGAGAGAAGGAGAGGCAAAGCAGTGGAAAACTCTGCCAGATTCAAAGGATAAAATATTTAATAAAGTCATGGGCAGGACAGGCACACCTAATAGGCTCTTATGCTCCTTCCTTGCCCTCGGGGCCTTCTGATTTCCATGTCATATGTTTTGTCCTGGAATAAGAAAGGGGGCCATCAAAATGGCAAGCAAGGCTTCCTTATCAAAAGAGAGGGAATTTCTCAATATTTTCTTCTGTGGCAGTGAAATAAATAATTATTATTCATGATTTGCAAATGTATTCGTGATATTTGAAATTAAATACATTTCCTTGTCTTTCAAATTCTAGAAAGAGCACCACTTATGAATAATTGGAATTGTCGGAACCAACTCAAGGCACAATGGCTTCTCTCTCCTCTAAGGCAGGAAAACTGTAGTGTTGAAATAACAACAACAGAATGATGGAAAAGTAATCAAAGCCATCAATTCGCAGGCAGTAGCAATTATTTGGTACACTACAGTCCCTGGCATTCAAATGGATGGTAATAAAATTTTCAATCTATCTCCATGGAAAAGACAAGTGCAGGGATCCCAACCCTTGGTCTGTGGACTGGCATTGGGCAGCAACTGGGCCACGCAAGCAAGCAAAGCCCCATCTGGGGGATGTAGGCAGCACACAAAACTATGCCCCCTCCACTGCACGGAAAAACCTTTCTCCACAGAACCGGTCCCTGATGCCCAAAAGGTTGGGGGGCGCTGGTCTAGTGGTTTTTTTGTTTTGCTATTTATAATTACCTTAATTTAGGGTAAGCACGCAAGGAGGCAAGTTATTAAAATACATTTCTAATTGAAGAAATGGGCATCCTAATAATAAAAGAGGCTCAATATAAATAAATACACACATGTAAAAAAATCAAATCCACTTGATTTTTTTTCCTGTGGCATCTGACCTGGATGAATAGAGCGCTAAAACAAAACCACATCCAAGCAAAGTTTCGGTTAACTCAAGGAGACAACCAATAAGATTAGAAACTGAAAATTTTGGCCAAAGCTTGTAACCTTTTCTTCTGAAGATGTATTGCTAATAATGAGGACACTTCTAAGACTTTATAAACCTAAATAATTTATAGAGTTTACTACATTCAGGAATCTTTTGGGGTGCTGCATTCATGCTTGAGATGACTCTTCACATTTCAATATAGGGATTATGCATGTCATTAGGTAATGCACTGCTACAATCAAGACACTGTAGTACAATGAATAATTTTTTTGACACTATAATTTTACCTGAGATTTTTTTGTATTTTGCTATTGTCATCTGGGCTTTCCCCTCCCTCCCCCAATTTCCCAATCTAGTAGATATTCCTCAGATTTCCATAGTTTCCTATTGAAGAACCGATCAGTCCAACACGGATACATTTATGAACCACAGTCAAGAGCAGTTACTGGTAGTCCTCAACTTATGATCAGTTGCTTAGCAAAGATTCAAAGTTACAACATACTTAAGACCCAAATCTAGCATTCTGACAGGTGCTCCCACCCTTTAGTCATGTGACTGCATGTTGAGTGCTTAGCAACTGGTCTAATTTATACCCATTTGCAATGTCCTAGGGTCATATGACCATGTTTTACTATAGTTTTGCCCAAAGCCAGAATTTACTTCTAGTTTTTGGCAAAACTAGCCCATAGCAAACTGTTGGTACACTTAACAATCCCACAATGACCGCCACAAGAAAGGTTGTGGAAGAGGGTTGGTCACATGAGTGACCATATTTATGACTGTCACAAGTTAAAACCAGGATGTACAGGCTTCATTACAGTCATAACTCAAGGACTACCTGCAGTTTCTGCCAGCTAACTAATCTACATTCACCAAACTGTTCATTTCTTAGCACTCCATTTTGGTTCCACCACAAAACCACGTTCGACTAAAGGGCGCTCGACAAAACCGCGTAGCTGACGTCATCACAGCGCAACAACAGCGCGGAG